ACGCCACCTCCTCTCCCTCGCTCACTCCTTCCTCTCCTCTCCTCCTCTCTCCTCTCTCCTCTCCTCCTCTCTCCTCTCTCCTCTCTCCTCTCTCCTCTCTCCTCTCTCCTCTCTCCTCTCTCCTCTCTCCTCTCTCCTCTCTCCCCTCTCCTCTCTCCTTCACCTCTCCTCCTCTCATCTCCTCTCTTTTGCCATCACCTGCAGCTCTACTTCCACGTCGTACTTCCTCCTCCCGCTCTTCTGGCTGCCATTGAAGCGGCTCCCTGCGTAAAGTGCATGTTCCATTGTTCTGGTCGACCACCCTCTCGTCTTGAACAAGTACCGGTAGTCATATTACCCTACCCTCAGAATTTTGGAAATTCATTGGACGACATACCCCACAGTCATGGGGTCTATTGAGGACCCTACCTGGTATTTTAGACCCCTTCACCCTTCCTTTGTGATCCACCCCAATCCCTCTTTTCTCCAAGGACCCCCTCTCATTACCAAAAAACTACCCCACCGGGGTCATGTTCATACCCGCCATGCGCGCGGCCTCCTTGAGAGCATAATCGAAGAGGAGGGGGAGGGGAGGAGGGAGGAGGAGGAGGAGGAGGAGGATGATGATGATGATGAGGAGGTGGTGGTGGAGGAGGATACAAACAAGTATGAGGACGAAGATGATCCAACAGGGAGGTTGAAGGGAAGAGGACGGGAGGGGAAAGTTGCAAGATGACAGGCAAGAGGGATGGCGTGGGGAAGGGGAGGGGAAAGAGCGAGGCAAGAGGCAAGAGGCGAGTGAGAATGGGAGAGTGAGCTAGAGATAGATGGATAGAGGGAGGAAGTTGAAAGTGGTAGAGGATGAAGGGAGGCAGGGAAGGTAAACGAGGAATGACCCCATGAATTTGAATATGAGTTTGGTCGAGCAAGACGAAGTATAGAAGGAAATCCGAAGGATTTTGACATTGTGATGAAAATGATAAGGTAGAATCAGAAATGAAGACAACAGTGATAGCATATCTGAAGATGATGAAGTAGATTGTATCGAGGGTTACATAAAAGCTAAATGGTGGCAGAATTAGTCATAGGTGAAGGCGCGGTATCAGCGTCGCAGTTTAGGGATCGATTTCAAAAGCAAAATGATGACGATAGAAATGTCAAGTACTAAGCAGGAATGAGGGAGAGGAGGACGCGGAGGAGAAGGAAGGGGGACATGGGAGGTCGAAGCGCTGGAGGAAGACAGGAGTGTGGGGACTGATGATGATGATGGAGATGATGATGATGATGATGATGATGGAGATGATGATGATGATGATGATGGAGATGATGATGATGATGATGGAGATGATGATGGAGATGATGATGGAGATGATGATGATGATGATGATGATGACGTATCTTATGATCCTGTAGCAGGTCGTGATGTTGAACCGAGGAAGCGACAAGCTGCTCCGCTTGCTTCTGTCAACTTCCCTCGTCCTCTCCGTCACTGAGGTGCTTCCGGCTCGTCAGAAGCAACTTGGAAAGGCTGACGTTTTCTCCTCCTCCTCCTCCTCCTCCTCCTCCTCCTCCTCCTC